TTAATTTAGATAAATGACAGGTGCTACATTTTGGAAAGGGAAGTCAGGGCAGGACTTGTTACACTTAATGGTAAGGTCCTGGCGAGTGTGGCTGAACAAAGAGACCAATGGGTGCAGGTGCATTGTTCCTTGAAAGTGGAGTCACAGGTATATAGGATAGTGAACAAGGCGTTTGGTACGCTTGCCTTTATTGGTCAGTGCATTGAGTGTAAGAGTTGGGAGATCATGTTACAGCTGTACAGAAAATTGGTTGGGCCACTTTTAGTATTGCGTGTAATTCTGGTCTCCCTCCCTATAGGAAGGATGTTGTGAAACTACAAAGGAATCAGAGAAGAGTTACGAGGATTTTGCCAGGATTGGAAGGTTTGAGCTATAGGGAGAGGCTGAATAGGCTGGGGCTATTTTCCCTGGAGTGTCGGAGGCTGAGGGGTGACCTTGTAGAGGTTTAAAAGATCATGAGGGGCATGAATAGGGTAGACCAGCAAGGTCTTTTCCCTGGGGCGGGGTAAGTCCAAAACTAGAGGGCATAGGTTTAAGGTGAGAGGGGAAAGATATAAAACGGACCTAAGGGACAACTTTTTTATGCAGAGGATGGGGCGTGTACGGAACGAGCTGCCAGAGGAAGTGGTGGAGGCAGGTACGATTACAACATTTAAAAGGCATCTGGATGGGTTATAAATAGGAAGGGTTTAGAGGGATATGGGCCAAATGCTAGCAAATGGGACTAGATTTACATAGGATATCTGGTCAGCATGAATGAGTTGGACCAAAGGGTCTGTTTCGGTACTGTATATCTCTATGACTCTATGAGGCTTTAACCTGCAGGCCTCCGCTGCCTAGAATAGTCAGCCCTCTCGGAATCACATCCTTCCTGATGGACTTGGAAGCATCAGAAAAACATTGAGCACACTTACTGCATTGCTGTGCCATAATTCAGTGTTCTACTTAGAGTCATACAGCATGGAAACATACCCTTCAGTCCTACTAGTCCATCCAACCATGTTCCCAACTAATCCCATTTGTCTGCACTGTGCCCATAACCCTCCAAACTGTTCCTATTCATGAACTTATCCAAATGTCTTTTAAACATTGTAACTGTACCTGCATTCACCACTTTCTCTGGCAGTTCATTCTACACACTAACCACTGTGTGAAAATGTTGTCTTTTTCAAATCTTTCTCCTCTCACCTTAAAAATATGCCCCCTTGCTTTGAAATCCCCTACCCTAAGAAAAATACCCTTGTCATTCACCTTATCGATGCCCTTCAGATTTTATACACCTCAATAAGGTCACCCCTCAACCTTCTACGCAACAGTGAAAGAAGTCCCAGCCTATCCAGCCTATTTTAATATCTCAAACTCTCCATTTCCAGCAACATTCTGGTAAATCTTATCTAAACCCTCTCCAATTTAATAATAACTTTCGTATAGCAGGGCAACCAGAACTAAACATAATACTCCAGAACAGGCTTCACCAATGTCCTGTAGAACCTCAATATGACATCCCAACTCCTATACTCAAAGGTCTGAGCAAAGAAGACTTTTTTACCATTCTGTTGACCTGTGATGCAAATTTAAAGAATTATGTACCTGTACACCTAGATATCTCTGTTTACAACAGTACCCAGGGCCCTACCTTTTACACTCTTCAGTTTAACCCCCTTCTCCAGACAGAATACAAACACACCTCCCCCTCTAAGAGATGCAAACTGGCTTTAGCAATGTAGGTTCGTTTCAAGTGGTGCAGTTTGTCATAATTTTGGAGCCCCTGCTTGAGTGCAGCCACGCAAACGTGTGCTTAGTGCTGTTTGCATATTAGTCATTTAAATGAGCAGGTTGCATAAAATTTATATGCTGTGTATCAGAAGAAGCAAGCACTGGTTAATCAAGCAACAGTGGCCAAAATCCTATTTCTGGCCTTATTTCTTGTTTCCAAACCATTCCATGTCCTTGTCCCACTGTAGTTCTGAAACCTCATATTGTCCAAAGTGCTTGCCTTTCTACTCTTCCAACTCTGCCCTCATAGGAACAAAGGAACAGGAGTAGGCAATTTGGCCCTTCAAGCTTGCTCCACCATTCAGTAAGATCATGGCCAATCTGGTTGTTATCTAAGTTTCACTGTATTGCCTGCAACCCCACAAACCTCAACTCTCTCATCTATTAAAAACATATTTAACTCAACCTGAAATAAATTTAGAGAACCAGTTTCCAATATCTTCTGGGAAAGAGAATTCCACTAATGAGCCTCTGAAGGAACATATTTCTCCACAGTTCTGTCTTAAAAGGGAGATCTCTTTTTTTTGAACTATGAACTATTTTTGAACTATGTCCCCTAGGTTTAGTTTTTCTCCACTCCTACAGATATCCAACCTATCCAGTCCCCTCACATGTTTCAATAAGATTACATCTCTTTCTTTGACATTCCAATGAATATAGGCATAATCTGTGGAACCTCTCCTCATAAGACAAGCCCTTCATCAAAGGAATGAGTCATATGAATCTTCTCTGAACTGCTTCTAAAGTAGTTGCATCGTTATTTTTTAAATATAGGCCAAAATTGTACACAGTAGTCCAGATGCGGTCTCACCAATGCCCTATACAGTTGCAGTAAAACTCTTTAATCTTATACTCCATTCCCCTTGCAATAAATGTCACAATTCCATTTGCTTTCTAAATCATCTGCTGACCCTGCATATTAACGTTATGTGATTCCTGCACCAGGACCTTCAGATCCCCCTGAACCACCTAGATCTGCAATCTCCCTCCATTTAAACAGTATACTGCTTTTCTATTCTTCAGAACAAAACAGACAAGTTAACACTTAGCCAGGTTATGCTCATCTTACAAGTTCTTGACAACTCGCTTAACCTTCGGAGACTCTGTACCCCCTCTTCACAACTTACTTTCCTACTTATCTTGGTGACATTGGCAAAGTTAGCTATTATACATTTGGCCCTCACAAACAAATCATAAATAAAGATTGTAAATAGTTGAGGACATGGTATTTACTCATTTGTTATAACTAGCTAACCAGAAAATTAACTATTTATCCCTATTTCTGTTGGCTAACCAACTTATTATTCATGTTAATATGGTATACCCTATATCATATGCAGCAACATTTAATGTGGCACTTCATAAAATACCTTATGGAAATCCAAGCACACAACATCTACCAGTTCCTGTATATCACCATTAGCTCAACAAGTTTCAACAAATTTATATAAATGTGAGAGGCATAGATAGATTAGACAGGAAGAGACTTTTCTCCTGTATGGAAGGATCAGTCACCAAGGGGCACAGATTTAAGGTAATAGTCTGAAGGCTTAGAGGGGATGTGAGCAAAATCTTATCTACCCAGACAGTTAAGAACCTGGAACTCACTGAGTTGGCAGGAAAAGGTGGTGGAGGCAGAAACATTTAAAAAATTTATCATGTATCTTGATGTGCACTTGTGATGCCAAGGCAAACAGCACTATGGGTCAAGTGTAGGAAAATGGGATTAGAATAATGACGAGGCTGTCTTTTTCTAACATGAACTGTTCTACCTTTTAGTCTGGTTTCCCAAATCACCTCCATCTTCATTGTTAACTTTATTCAGGTTTAAGACACTCGTCATGGATCCACATTTCTCTCTTTCAAATGAAAGATAAAATTCTATCATGGTTTTATCACTGTCACTTAGAAGCTCCTCTATCACAAGGTCATTAATTAATCTTGTCTCATCGCAAATGGCCAAGTCCAGAAGGGCATGCTCTCTGTTTGGCTCTAGAATATACTGCTTTAAGGAAAGATACTCCATGAACTAATTTTTCTAAATTTCCTTTGCCAATCTGATTCTACATGCAGCTGAAAGTGACCCATGATTATTGTGTTATATTTCCTACCTGCCCCATTTTATTTCCTCCTGTATGCTCCATCGTACAGTGTAATGGCTTGCACCTCTCTTCATATACTCAATCTTTATGGCAGAGGCCTCAAGATCTCAGTCTTAAATTTGGAAGCATCTCTCAAAACAAATTTGCCATATCCTCTTTCCACATGCAAAATTGTCTGAAAATCTCCCTCTTCAACAGTGTCTTTTGACAATTCCATTGAATCTTCTAGAAATTTTTGACATTTATTCTTATGTCTTGAATGGTTTTAGATTTTTTTGTATATCAAAAGTATAATCTGAATGCAGGTGGTTGAAGTATATTGTACTGAAGTGCTTATGATGTAATACACAACCAAGTAATACTGAGTTATTGGCTGGTTTGCATAGTTTTCCAGCCAGAAAAATCAAAGTAGTCTAACAATCAGACACCAAGCTACTTTCTAACATTAGAAATTAAAACCAGTGCAGAAAGAGTTAGCATGAGGATGTTTAAACTCAACTTAAATATGAAACAACAAGTTAACATGCATGAAATACAATTGAAGTCACAAATAGCAAACAATATTTCAAGCCAAAACTGTTAAAGACTGGATAGTCTGAAAGCATTTTGTGAAAAATCGGTCTGTACACTTGACTCTTATTATAGCTATTATGGCAGCCAACTTTTTGGAATGCAAACATTATTTGTGTGTATATATATTTATATTATTTCTATATTATACATATATTTATATTACATCAGTGTTCAGCTTTCAAATTAGAAACATTATTCATCATTAGAGACTGGCGGCACTCCGAACATGACAAATGCTTTCTTTAACTGAACTTTTAGGCATTTTTTAAAAAAAATTAATTCTAGATTTTAATAAAGGCAAATAAATAATAAACACCTTTTGGATTATGAAGTAAGCTGTAACATAATCATATAATTTTGAGAAATATAAAGAAAACCTTCCATGTTATTTCAAATATTTGCACTGTCTTGAAATATGACAAGAACAATCATTCTTTATCTCTACAGACAACCTGTCACACAGATGTTATGTGAAGAATATACTGTACAATGCTTCTGATATTATTTGAATTGTCAGTATTGAAATGCAGTTCTTGGCCAATTACTTACCCAATAAAGGACATCAGTCCATCCTTCCATGGTTATACACTGAAAAACTGTTAGCATAGCAAAAGCAAAGTTGTCGAAATTTGTGATGCCTCCATTTGGACCCGGCCACCCACCCCTGCATTCTGTACCATTCATGGAGCATTGGCGACCATTCCCTGAGAATGCACAAGGTGCTGGTTCATCCTCCGCTATCACATCTAGAAATGGAAGGCAATATTAGCTTAGGTTACCTCAATTGCAACTTTAACATAGCAAATATAAAATATGCATGAATATGCCTCTGTAATGAAAATTTAAGTTAAAGAAAGGAAAACTTCAGATTAGCAATAATAAAGTATAATCCAGTAAAACTATTAGATGTATAATCAAAACTTTAAAATCTTTTTAATCTTTTTATTAACACTATTTGAAGGACACAGTTGTCCTGCAATATGCTATCAATGTAATGGTGAAATGAATGATGTTATTTATGTGTAAGTGGTACAGCAACATTAAGAAAGTGGCATTTGTGCAAATAAATGAGAATACCAAAAAGTTGCTATTATGCCATCATTAGCTTTATGTAAACAGCATTTTACCGTCTGCCTCTCAAAGATATGAAAGATATCAAAAGCATGAAATTGCAATATTTGCATAGTAGATTTGAACCAAACATGCTATAGTAAGTTAAATCTTGTTGAATCCTTTTAACAACATTAAATGTTAGTTAATGTCAATTAACCTGTCTGACATTCAAAATTATATATCACAGTGTATAGTCTTATTCCTCCTTCCAAGATTAATTGTTGGAGATTTTAAAACACAAACATAAAATGTTTGCTTTTCTTCTCCTTTCTGTTTTATTTTTCACGTGCAATCCAATTTTTTCTTGCCCTCTCTTTATTTCATTTTCTATTTCTATTTTGATATTCAATTCATCTATTGTGTCCTACACTCCCTTCAGGTCCTTCTATTGTTTGTTCCTCAGTCTTTCAATCTGATTCACATGAATATTGATGATGATGTTCACTCAGGCTCCAGATGCCCTGGATTCTTCACTATGATATTACCAACCCAGGGCACAGAACTTTACTGGCCAGAATGAAATCCCACTATCAGGAAGAACTTAGAAACCTGAATCCGTGCCAGAAGACAAAAGGATTACAAAGGCTATTTCAGCAGCGGCAGTAAATTAAGCACTTAAATTAAGCACAGGTCCGCCTTTTCTAATTAACATTCCACGTTACCCAATTACCAGACCAGCAGTTTGCAGCTTTCACAGTTCCACCAAAAGAGGTGACTGCTACTAAGGCCACAAGGAGAAGAAAAGGGCACATCCATCTTGATGTATCTTCAAAGGGCAAATTGTAAAGTTTTTCTTTTGTGCAGGGGCCAGGTAGACAGGCCCAGGAAAGCAGAGTGGAGTACTTAGTTCATGGCCACCATGGGTTCCCTCAACAGGACACACAGTCTAAGGAAATCACAGCACCCATCCTTGTTTTGCCTGACCCTGAAGAAGCCACTGGGACCCACCTCAACGCAATGAGCATATTTTCCATGCACCAGGCTGTGGGATATAATGTCTAATCCAGTAATACCAAGTAAATCTACAAAATTAAAGACCTTTATTTTAAATTGCAGAGTATGTCAAAGGCTTTTTAACCAATGTCAGCATTCAGTGAAAGTCTTGTAACCTAAGGTAACCCTTTCTAGAAAATTAAATATGCAGATCGAATTCACAAGACTGAGAAAAGAATTAATAGTTTCTTACTTGTGTTGCTGAAGTAACATGTTTTGTGCATTTTTCCTATAAAGAGCTCCAGTCCTATGATAGCATAAATGATAATCACGAACAATACCAGTAGAGCAATATGTAGAAGAGGAACCATGGCTTTGATGATGGAATTCAAGACAACCTGTAAGCCTTTACATAACAGAGAGAACTTAGTTAGATACAAGATAACAATTAAAACTTATTCTAAAATAACTAAGGGAAACTTAGTTGTTTATATGGCCCAGACCTTCTAGTTGGAAGGTGACTCTTGCAGCAATATATCCAGGAAGATGCATAATGGGACCTCTTTGAGGTCCTGGCAGATCAACAACCCAGAAATTGTCCAGGCAATTTACATTTCCAATGGGTAATTTCCCTATATTTAGAACATTTCAAAAAATCTAAGGTTAGAAGAGCAGAGTTCAGAGAGTTCCAACTCACTTGTCTGAATGGCTAGCAAGGTAACATTAGAGGAATTAATTAATTAAGGAATTAAATTTGAAGGGTCACTGGACCTGAAACGTTAACTCTGTTTTTTACCTTCACAGATGCTGCCAGACCTGCTGGGCTTTTCCAGCAACTTTATTTTTGTTCCTGATTTACAGCATCCGCAGTTCTTTCGGTTTTTATTAGAGGAATTAAAACCTGCTGTAACTGGATAAGTATAAAATTGAAACCCAAAGTCACCACTTATCTCTGACTCCCTCTTCACTCCTGATCTGATCTTCACACCACTTCCCCTCCCCCATTTCCCCGAACTTCCCAGCCTAATCCAATCTGACACCATTCCCTTCCCCAAAACTAGGTATCCCCTCAGTACAAGAGCCCCTGAAATTGAGTGCTTCAATACACTCAACATTTTTAAAAATACTTTTTCATAGAATGTGGACATCACTGGCAAGTCCAGCGTTTGTTGCCCCTCCCTAACAGCCTTCAAGCTAAACAACTTGCTAGGCTACCTCAGAGGGCAATTAAGATTCAAGAATGATGTAATCAAATAACATTCAAATTCCTGTATAAATTAAAATTTGGTAAACATGTATTTATATAGTACCTGAAGAACAGTAAATCATTCATAATACATTATCAGATACAAACTGCCACTGAGTCACATATGGACATATTACAACAGGTGACCAAAAACCTTAGCCAGATATAGATTTCAGAAGTTCCTCAGAAGAGGAGCAAAGAGTAAAGGAGCAATAAGTTTTTTTGGAGGGGGGGGGGGGGGGGGGGGGGGGGAGGTATTCCAGAATTTAAGGACTACATAGTTGAATACATTGCCATAAAGAGAATCATGAGTACATAAAGTCAGAGTTGGAATAATGCAGAGTTTGCAGATGGTTGTACGGCATAAGTTAGAGAAAGAGAGAGGATCGAGTCAACTTAAAAAATACATTGTGTTTTGAAACCACAGTGAAACTTACTAGGTACTCCAGATACAAGTCTTAGAGGTCTCAATACACGAAAGGCTCTAAGGGCTTTGACATCAAAACCACCTGAATGTTTGCCAGTGGAAGTTGCATGTCCATCCACATTTTCTGCTTTGGTTAGTTGTTCCAAAACAACACTAAACAAGCTGAGACAAAATTATAAGTATAGGCATAGAATTAGTACATTTCTGCCACTTCCTTTGTTCATTTCGATATAGAATGGTACACCATTACTGTATTTTTATTGCATGTTGAATGTTTCATTTTCATTGAAAATACATTCAACCATTCTAAAGCATAAAACGTGAAAAGTGCAAGCCTGGGAGCATTGGATACACATTTTCTTGCACATGGATAGATTCAAATAATAAATTGAGAAAATAGTCCCTGAACACATTTGTCAAGCATGAAACAATAAAGCAGCATAACTTTTAATTAAAATATCTTTTCAAAAATAAAAGACACATTTAAAGCCAATTATTTCACTGTAGTCATAAATGCAAAGTATCCTGACATAAAATATCAAGTCTCTCTACTGTAATTTTAATATTCCAATGTCTTTAACATAAAAATGCATCAGTGTCAAGCTTACAAGAAACTTCATTGGCTCATAGCACTTTTACACAAACCACCAAAGGCTCAATACAGCATCAATGCATATGAATGATGATAAATGAATGATGACTTGCAGATTATATGCAGGAATTTCATGCTGGAAATGCCAGCAAGAAAAAAGAAACTCAGTACTAATAAGACAGGTAGGAGTAAAGTGACAATCCAAAAATGTCTGCCACTGCTCAGTAGATTTATATTTTTATTTATTCTTTAATTAGCATCCATATTCGGTGCAAAAGGACTGTTATATGCATGTGATGTATCCACTAGATGGAGCAATATTCACAGGCAATCCACTGTACATTAGTATCTTGGTACACAGTTGGCGATACACAAGGGCCCAGTAATGACGACCTAAGGCTCAAAGGAGACCTTGTACCCAGGTCAGGGGTGGGGCCATTCTGCCTGGGTCAGAAGCATCATCGTGGTCTATAAATTCTGTCCCTGCCCTTGCCTTAGCTTTGAGATGAGGGAGAAACAAATAATGATTGTAGATACAGAAACAGAAATTGCTGGATAAGTTCAACAGGTCTGGCAGCATCTGTAGAGAGAAGTCTAGCTAACGTCTCGAGTCCAGTGACCCTTCCCCAGAACTGAAAAGGGAGTTTTTAAGGAACAGACAAAAACATGCTCTCTATTGGGTGAAAGGAAGGACAACTTAAAAACCTAAGGAATGCATTATTAAATATTATTGATGGTGTAACATTTGTACATTTGTAATAATATCTGCTGTGTTGTTAATTTTAAGACTTATTAGACACAGCAATTTCACTTGGAGGCTAGCAGTTCCAACTAAAATGTTGAATAAAATCATTATATTACTACCAACAGATTCCATGCATTTGTAACTAACCCTGTTGTGGCAGTGCTGCAGATGACAAGATTTCAGCATAAAGAAATGTGTTAGGTGTGTGAAACTAATGAATATCTAAAGTTGCCCTATCTTAAGAATGCCAGCCCTGCATTTCAACCTTAGTACAATGGAAAGCGAAATACATCAAGGTCTGGGTTCTAAAATAAAAAATAGAAAATGCTGGAAGAACTCAGTGGGTCTCACAGCAACAGCGTTCACTCTACAGTTCAACGAACATTTATCAGAACTGGAAAAAGGTTTTAAGCAAGGAGAGGCAAGGAAAGAGGGAGAGGGGAGAACAAAATGTAAGGCCTGTGCTAGGTTGGAAAGCAGGAGAGATTAACTAACAAAAGAGAAGATTGCAAAAGGCAAAAGTGATTAGTAATAAGACAAGTAAAGTAAAAATCAAGGAAAACTCCAAGGCTTTTTACGTGTATGTGAGGAATAAGAGAATGACCAGAGAGAGGGTAGAGCCAATCAAGGATTGTAAAGGGAATTTGTGCATGGAGCCTAAAGAGATAGGAAAGGTCCTTAATGAATACTTTTCTTCGGTATTCACAACTGAGAGGGACCTCGTTGTAGAGGAGGACAGTGTGAAACAGGCTGGTAGGCTAGAGGAGGTCAATGTTAGTAAGGAAGATGTACTAGGAATTTTGAGGAAGATGAAGATTGATAAGTCCCCCGGGCCTGATGGGATTTATCCAAGGATTCTATGGGAAGCGAGGGAAGAGATCGCACGGCCTTTGGCGATGATCTTTTCGTCCTCACCGTCCACGGGTATCGTGCCGGAAGATTGGAGAGAGGCAAAAGTCACTCCCTTGTTCAAAAAAGGGAATAAGGATAGCCCCAGAAATTACAGGCCACTTAGTCTTACGTCAGTGTGAGCAAATTATTGGAAAGGGCTCTGAGAGATAGGATTTATGATCACTTGGAAAGGCACAGCTTGATTCGTGATAGTCAGCATGGATTTGTGAGGGGTAGGTCATGCCTCACAAACCTTATTGAATTTTTTGAAGATTCTTCTTTGAAGACCAAACACGTGGATGAAGGTAGAACAGTGGATGTGGTATACATGGATTTAAGTAAGGCGTTCGATAAGGTTCCCCATGGCAGGCTCATGCAGAAAGTAAGGAGGCATGGGATAGGGGGAAATGTGGCAGATTGGATTCAGAATTGGCTGACCCTTAGAAGACAAAGGGTGGTAGTGGACGGAAAATATTCAACATGGTGCTCAGTTACGAGTGGTGTACCACAAGGATCTGTTTTGGGTCCTCTACTATTTGTGATTTTTGTAAATGATTTGGATGAAGGAATGGAAGGGTGGATTAGTAAGTTTGCGGACGATATGAAGGTGGGTTGCGTTGTGGACAGTGCGGAGGGCTGTTCTGGGTTACAAAGGGACATTAATAGGATGCAGAGCTGGGCTGAGAAGTGGCAGATGGAGTTTAACCCTGAAAAGTGTGAGGTGATTCATTCTGGTAGGACAAATTTGAAAGCAGAATACAGGGTTAACAGAAAGATTTTTGGCAGTGTGGAGGAGCAGAGGGATCTTGGGGTTCATGTCCACAGTTCCCTGAAAGCAGCCACCCAGGTGGATAGAGTTGTTAAGAAGGCGTATGGTGTGTTAGCTTTCATTAATAGAGGGATTGAGTTCAACAGTTATGCTCCAGCTATACAAAACCCTGGTTCGGCCACATCTGCAGTATTGTGACCAGTTCTGGTCGCCTCATTACTGGAAAGATATGGAAGCGATGGAAAAGGTGCAGAGATTTACCAGGATGTTGCCTGGAATGGAGGGAAGGTCTTATCAGGAAAGGTTGAGAGAGCTAGGGCTTTTCTCTTTAGAACAACAAAGGATGAGAGGTGACTTCATAGAGGTGTACAAAATGATCAAGAGGTATAGATAGAGTAGACAGCCAGAGACTTTTTCCTAGGGTGGAGGTAGCTATCACAAGGGGTCATAGTTTTAAAGTGAGTGGAGGTACATATAGGGGAGATGTCAGAGGTAGGTTCTTTACTCGGAGAGTGATTGGGGCATGGAATGCATTGCCGGATAGGGTAGTGAAGTCAGCCTCATTAGGAGCATTTCAGCAGCTATTAGATAGGCATATGGATGATAGTATAAGGTAGGGGTGGAGGTTAGATAGACCTTAGGATTAGGGTAAAAGTTCGGCACAACACCGTGGGCCAAAGGGCCTGTACTGTGCTGTACTGTTCTATGTTCTATGTTCTATGTTCTAAGTAAGGAAAACAAAACATGGTCCTAAATGTAGACAAAGGTGATAAAGGTAAATCAAAAATCAACACCGTCTGCCATTGAAAAACAAAAGGTAATAAAAGTACGTAAGAGAAACCAGAAACAATAGATAAAAAAGATTATAATCTCAAATTGTTGAATGCAATGGTTAGTCAAGGAGGCTGTAAAGTATAGAGTCAAGAAAAGGTTCCTCGAGCTTACATTGACTTTCATTTGAACAGCTTAGGACATTAAAAACAGAAAAAAACAAAACGGAAATGAATTGGAGAATGTTAACACAAAGATAAAACAGTCAATGGAAATTTGGAAACTTTCAATAGAGAGGTGAATAGGACGCAAGCTAGCTACATATCCATGAGAAATAAATGTGGGGTGTGCAAAGCTAGAGCACCCTGGATGACTGAGGATATTTATGATAAAATAAGGAAGTAAAATGAGGCATACGATGCATACCAGAATTATAATAGCAATAGAAAGGGTGTGTCAAATGTAGGAGAGAAGCTAAGGCTGGAATAGGGAAGGCTAAGAGGAAGCATGAGGGAAAGATGCCAGGTTGCACTAAAACAAATAGTAAAATATTAGTGAAGGGTAGATCAGGGCCTATTAGGAATAAGCAGGGTAAACTGCTCACTTAAGCAAAGGGTACACCAGACATACTAAATGAATACTTTGCTTCTGTCTTTGCCAAATTAGAAGATGGTGACGATGGCCCAGTTGAATATGTGGGTGTTGAGCAACTGAGCAGTATAGTGATAGATAAAGAAGAGGTGCTAAAAAGACTGGTAACAATTCAGGTAGAGAATTTGCCAGGCTCAGATGAGATACATCTTAGATTACTGATAGAGGTAGGGGAGCAAATCGCAGAGCCGTTAACATAAATTTTCTAGGCCTCTGTGAATACAGCATTAATCCCAGCCGACTGGAGGACTGCAAATTTAAGAAATGGGCAAAAGATAACCCAGCAAACTACAGACCATCAGCTTGACATCAATGGGAAAACAGATGAAAAGCCATAATACAGGATAAGTATACAATGAGAAAAATACATTAACACTAGAAAGTCAACATAGCTTTGTCAAGGTCTGATTATGTCTGACAAATTTAATTGAGTTATTTGATGAGGTGATACAGACAGTGAATGAGAGTAGTGCTGTGTGTTGGTATATTTGAACTTTCAGGAAGCATTTGTTACAGTGCCACATGGTAGGTAAATTAGAAATGTTTGGGAATGATGGGTCTTTGGCAGCATGGATTAGAAGTTTGCTAAAGACTGAAAACAGAGGAGGTATACAGGGGCATTTCTCAGACTGGACAAGTGGCGCTCCCCAGGGATGTTGGGATCCTTGCTTTTTCTGATTGAATTAAACCATTTGGAGATGGGTGTTGAGGGCATAAAAGCTTGAATCCAGAACTTTATGATC